GTCTGTGTGTGTCTGTGTGTGTATGTTTGTGTGTGTGTGTGTGTGTGTGTGTGTGTGTGTGTGTGTGTGTGTGTGTGGATCTGCTCTTTCGGCGTCTGCTTAGACTCTTACTCTAGAGTTGTCTTTTTTCTTCTTAAATTTTCTGTTGGCGTTATCGTATCGACTCGTTGCAGTGGGTTGTTAGCGGGCACTTTGGTGTGATATTTTCTCCTTATTTCCAATGAAACACCAATCGTCCTTATCTTTCCTCCTTCCTTTCTAATAACACTTCTAATCTTCTGTACCTATAGTATGACCTGTTTGTGTTGCGAGTGCCTTAATACTCTTAGTAAAGTAAAAACGAGAACAACTTGTAAACCACAACTCGACAATTGCAACTCTCTCCAACCAGTGAACTGGGCAAAGGAGCCTTCGGTGAGGTGTACTACGGCCTACTGTCCAATGTACCCATGGTAGACGGAGACCTGCCGGTAGCTGTGAAGACTTTGCAGCCCGTGTGTACAGAACAAACGGAGATGGACTTTCTCATGGAGGCTGTCATTGTCAGGTACGTCGAAAAATGAAGATTTATACACAGCCGAAATTGTCCAAGACGATTACCTACAGCTAAAGAGGGTGTTGTCTTTAACGGGTTGACATCATGGATATTGTCATTATCATGCAAAAAAATAAACCCAAGAGGGAGTGGAAAATTGTCGTTAGCACAAATAATTGTTGTCTAGGATAGGTGGCCGTTAGAGAAGGCTCGACTTTATTCGACAAAAATTATTATGTACTCTGTTGTGTAAGTTTTGGAGATTGATTAATAATTTCATAGAAGAGAAAGAAATTAACTCAGGTAGTGCTGAAATAAATCATGGTGAGATATTAGGGGGTTTTTTGGACAAAAACACCGAAGATGCAAATGAAGTTCCTAAGACCTTGCTCTAACGTGAAGGTTACAGAGACTGACATCGACAAAAACTTTTAATAGACATCTCAGAGAACTGGAAGACGAAGATGACGGGAAAGGATCAGAATTATAGGTATATTAGAAAGCATTGGAACAAAGAAATAAGTATTGAATATGACCTCAGATGTCTGTTTCAGATCAGATCTTGCACTTGAAAAAGAGATAACAAGAAAGGGGGGGGGG